AAGTTAAATAAGCATTTATTTTTCAGAAGAAATAATTTATTGGTTGAGGGTTCAATAACAGCTTTGTTATAAAGAGAACCATTACAGGGAAAACAACACTAGAACAGTGCTAGAACTAAAAAACTTAAGACTCTAATCCACACTCTGCTATTCTAACCAGCAAATCATTTAACCTCTCTCAACCACAAGCCATAATTACTATGTATTCTGCCAAGCTCACAGCATTACTTATTAGGATACAATAGAATAATGTATATATAGGAAAGTATTTAGAAATGTATGAAGAACTATATAAATGGTATTATTTTAATGATGAGTGTGCCCTCCAATTTAAGCTAATATTTTATTTTAAGGAAGCTGCAAAAGAAAGAAATTAAGGGACAATTATTTACACTATAGAATTCATACCTGCATAAATCACTACAAGGTTCAGCAGCTAAAATTTAATCTACAGCAATTAAAATATGCACCAACTGAAAAAAGTGCTTCAGAATTGATTTTCCAGGAAGACATTTATTACATAAAACAAAGAAGATATGTGAATCAGGCCACAAAAATCACAATCATGAACATATTACAGTAAATTCATTGAGAAGACCTTTATCTATGTAAACAAATCAGATTCTGTGTTTATCTGGTTCCACTTTACAACTTGAGACAAAGCCCTGTGTCCCACAGTTGAAGAGGTGAACCAGCACATGTAGGAAATACTAGAGTTTACTCTTGATTTGAAGGAAGACATGTGATTATCCAATACACAGCACAACCTGGTTTGTGTAAAAATTGCTAAATCTGTTTCACAGACCTACTGCTCATGGACATGAAAAGGTAGTATGTGGGCTGAGATGTAGCTCAGTGATAGAGTACTAGCCTAGCATGTGATTACCCAGGTTTAATCTCCAGCATCAAAAAACAAAAAAAAGGTGAGGGGAGTATCTTACATATCTTACAAAGAAGCAGACTCCAAGTAGACTAAAATGCATCCCCTTATTTGTAGTACTAGTGAAAGACACAACTATGAAATACTTCAAGATTTGTTTGGGTATATTAAATTCATTTTCAAATCAACAAATTATCACATCCAAAAAGTTCCTATCCTTGGTCTTGCCAAGACTACATACAAACCATCTTAGTGTAAACATTATAGCAAGAGTTGGCTACCTTCCTAAAATAGGTTACCGACTTTCTGATTCTTGTTTATATGTCCTTTCATAGGTGAGAATTTTATTCAAGGAGTTTCTGGAAGGCAGAGACTCCAAAAGGTTGAGCACAAACCAACAACTGGTCTCAAATAAATTAGCTAACACCCCCTGTTTTACTCTCTTGGACAGGCTGCCATAATCATTTTGCTCTGAGCTAAATCCCAGTAAAGAAATGGAAGTGAGGCTGGAGAGGAAAAGAGAAACAAGGAAGGCAGTAGGATGGGCGGGGGGGCTTGTGAAGGAGAAAAGGCACCAGAAATACAAAGAGAGAGTTAAAAAGACACCAAAGATAAATTTTGCCAACAGCTGCCAATTCTCCATTTTCCCTCATAGAAAAGACTGTTACAGATAAAACAGGGTTTTTGGCTACGTGTTTTGGGAGCACTATTTTTAATTTGTTTTGTCTCATCGTTTTTTAAGTCAGGGTCTTACTATGTAGCCCAGGCTGGCCTTGAACTCCTAGTGATCCTCCTGCCTCAGCCTTCCCAGTGCTGGGATTATAGGTGTGCACCCTGCATGGGAGCACTATTTTCTCAACATAAACTTGATATGAAATATAAACTAGGTCATGCAAAAAAACTAAAGAAACTATAGGATCATAGTAAGTTTCTATTCACAATATATGATAAATACACACAATATGATGAAAAAATGAGGCTCAGCTTCACTTTAAAAAAGAATATTGAACTAGAACTTGAACACTTCGTTCCTGGCTTTGGTTTTGAGCCTCTGAACAAGTGGCTTTAGGTTAATCACTAAACTTTTATCAACATTTTCATTCACTCAAAAACCAAATATTGAGGCCATACTCTTAAGTGAAATAAATAGGACACACATGTAGATACCAAATAGTTTCTCTAGTGTGAGAAATTGAAAGTGTAAATTAGGACTAAAATATTTTAAACGAATAATTGATAATTTGAAATAGGAAGAAAAGGTTTAAAGGGGTAGGGGAAGTGGGAGGGGAAGGGGAAAGGAAAGAAGGGAAAGGAAAAATTATGAGAAAAGGAAAAAATGGAAACAAAGTCTTTGTAAATAGGGAAGGGTGGA